GCTGTTCTTGTATTGCTGCCATCATATTTGCTAAGCTGTAGTTTGATTTACCACCTCTCGTTTCCATCTTCTTTTCTTTTTATTTTCCGTCTCACTGTCTGTCACCAATTTGTTACGTCTATGTTCGTTTGTTAATTTTTCGTAGAATTTTTTTTTCCGAGAAACTTCAGCGATACAAGTCTTTTCTTAAATAAAACTAGTTTATTGTTTCTCAGTTCAACTTTGCAATACACTTAATTTCCACAGTCACTTTAACTTCAACACACACTATAATTCACAACGAACGATTCACGCACTTTAGTTACTGTCACTACCGCGCTTGACTCAATTGCCCGTCTCTATCTCTGCCCGTCTGCAATTATCTAGCTATACCGTCACTTCTCGCCGGTCTTATATATACGAAATAGAGGGCGCCTGGCAAACACTCGAGTCTTCACGAACGTTCTAGATACTCATTACGTGTTATCAGCGTCACGTGAATTTCGTTGTCGTAACAATATATTAGTTTCAGTTTATGAAACAACGTGAACCATTCAACGGAAGTTGACTAAAGTAGTGTACGTTTCTTCTCTCTCTACTAATAGTCATTTAAATGGTAATGTGCAAAGGACATCAAAACAAAAAAGGGCACTTTCGAAGCATTGTAAGACAAGTTTTTGTTTTGTTGAGGGGGGGGGGGTGTATTAGAGGAAACTGTGGGGCCTGTCGTTGTAAAGATCCACAAGAATCACAGGTCTTCTTTTTATTCCTATTTCAATTGATCTTTAATTTGGGTACGATTAAATACTACATCTTAAAGCCGCTGTGTTAGCTTTTTAGCGAAACTAACTACATTAGTTTGAGGCCTCAAATTGTGAATTAAAACACATTTATACGGAGGATACGCTCACCATTGGCCTTAGTAAGGATACTAAACAAATTAGGATGAACGACAACGTCATATTCTCTTAGGGTTTGTTTTAATATATTTAGTGGGTGATATGAAGTTGGCGTGTTCTTTTAATCGTGCTAATAGTTTCCTTTTTGTACAACCAATATGGCCTTTGTGACCGCAAAGACAACTAATTTAGATACTTCTTAAAATGACTATAATGTTGGAATGCAGTCTTTAGATTTAAAGAGAGAAAGTAGAAGACAGTTGAAAATTTAAACATACATTTTAATTGTATACATGGGCATACCTTTGGATAACCTGTTTGAACTGATTCTTAATAACTGACAAATATTTACTCACAAATGGTTAACTAATAACTAGAGGGTATATTTAAACACATTAGTTTGATTTAATTTATGGAAACTTCGCTTATTTAAATAAGTAAGAAATATCCGTCAATCATCACAGAACATATCAACATATTTTTGCATAAATAATCCTTGATGTTAATGAATTATTCATGCATAGCTTTGTATGAGCTAGCTGTCTTATAAGCACAGCGAACCAGTTAACTAAATTTTCTTTAAAAACATTCGGAAGGAAGCTTTCAAAATTAAAACATAAGCCTGTGAAAGTTTTATTATGGTAAATCGCACATTGAAATTCTCCATTTCTGTTACTAAGTAGGATGTACACACACAAAAAAAGGAAGTTTGTGGTACTTTTTTTTTGTGGAGGGGGGAATAAATCAATCTTATCCTCGTTATAGTCACTTTGTGTTTGAAAACTTAAAAATATAGAGGGTTAAGAATATTACATTAATATAACTTTCAATACGCATGTTGACTTTTAGTGTTTTCTATAATGTCAACAACAACAACTGATCACTATTGGAAAGAGTATGTAACAACCATTTTCAACGCAAAATGTTCAAAAATTCAGATCATAAAGATGAGTTGAGATCGAGGATTTGAAATTTCTGAGACGGAAATTTCACTTGTATTTAAATAGCGTTGCCAAATAAAAGAATGTGGATCAACTTGTAACACTAGGGCCATCCTGAAAGAGACCTGTGTCACATCGTACCCTAGGTTTGTAAGAAAAGCGGAGAGTTTTGTAACAGGTGAGAATGCACATACATACAGAGAGAAAAGCTGTCCACGTTCAGATAACAGTATGCAACATTATTAAAAAGGATCTTCGTCTGGAAACGAATTAACAGTGTATGGGTTGAACAAGATAAGGCTTTCAACCGTCACATTCCTAAAGTAGCTTGAAAATGAAATGGATCTTCATGCTATTCCACAAGAAGACATACCAGTCAAGTTGCTAGGCACATCACTTATGGATTTCTAAGTGGCTAAATTGTTGAAATTGGTAATGAGAAACCATCGTCCTCCTACACTCGACAGATTGTGGAAAACAATCCAGGAGGAGTGGCATGCTTTGGAAATTACAAATTTACAACACAGATTTTTCCAATGTTAACTAGACTGTTGGCCTATTATTAATATGCACAATTGTCAGAAGAATCATGACCCAGACATGATGACATGTACTCTAATGATGTGATGAGGATCCACAATCATTTTAATATAACGTATTCAACTTATGTATTAACGTATATTCAACTGTGTAACTAGACTTCATTATTGGATGTTTTGTCTGTACTTGTTCACATTAAAAATATTGACAAGGATGTAATAAATTACTAGTTTCTGATGACATTAAACTCTTGGGTATTTCTAACTGTGTCTAGGATGTTGAGGAGTTGCAGAATTACTTGGATCAACTGTAAGGATAGACAAACACTAGTTCTTTTATTTTTAGAGCAAAACAAAACTGGGCTATCTTCTGTATCACTATGGGGAATTAAACCATGGATTTTAGTATTGTAAGTCTAAAATCATATTATTGTCCCATCAGGGGATCTTTAGTTATGCCAAGTGCAAAGTAATGTATTTGGGTTATCATAATTTTGATTACATATTTAATATAGACAGGAACCCATTTATAAGTGTGACTAAAGAAAAAAGATCTTGGCAGAATGCTGGATAAGTCACTCAAGCATATAATATGTCAGATAGGTGCTGTGTGACTAGTAGTAAAACTTTTACAATTTTAGTATATATTTTTATAGACATTCATTACAAGTGAAAAAAAATGTAACTAGATCTCCCTTGGAAACTATATACAGTTTTGGTTTCCTCATCTAAGAAAAGATATTGATCAGAGGAAAGTTACTAGAATGATTCCCATACGTTATCTTACAGGGATAGCTTGAGATATTTTATTCTTTTTGAAAAAGGAATGATAACAGGTGATGATATTGAAATTCACAAGATTATCCAAGGGACCAATATGATAAAGGCCTTTGATTTCTTTGTGGTATATTCTAAACACAATAAGACAAAATTTAAGATTTAAAAAGGATAGGCTAGGCTCTAGTTAAGAGAGTTTTATTTTAATAATAGGGTGATTGACTTTACAGGAATTAAGAAAAGTAATCAATAATTTCCTGAAAAACTGTGTGTGTACAAGGATAACCTTGAACAACCAAACATTACTTATTGTCCATATTTTTTAATATGTTAAAACTACATTCTGTCTTGCATTTTTCAACATCATTTCTCATACATTTTTAGGAATTTTAGTTACATCATACCAGATTTTTGCAATTTTCATTCTACGTTTTCCAAGAAAGAGCCTTATAATTTATCACTGGAACTTAGTTGAATTTTTAATGTTATATAATAGGTTTACAATAAATATTCTTTTGATAAAACATTAGCAATATGTGGGGGTAAAAGAATGAATATTTCTCTATACCAAAGTTGATGTTTTGTGCTGTTCTTGAACGAGAAACTATTGTAAATGTTATGGCAAACACTTCTCACATTCAACTTCAGTGTACTTATATCTGACAAAAAAGTGCCGTTAACTTTGTTGTAACGTGCTCACCATCAATGTTACTGTCTTGTTTTTCAGGCAACCATTATTTTTGCAACATCTTAAAGAATTAAAAAAAGAAAGAAAAAAAGTTATGTTCATAATATACAAAAACTCAATACATCAGTAAGAAGTTTGAGGTTTCTAAAGCAAACATTTTTATTTTGTATTATGACTATGACAATCTGGAAACAAATACTGTATGAAAGAAAATATATTTTGAGATAAGCCATCCACCATCTTTTTGTAATCTTCTATATACATCAGTTGCAAAAAAAAAACTACATTCACTAAGAAGTTTCCATGTCATCTTTGGTCATTTCCCATTCTTCTTCTTCTTCTTTGTCTTCTCCACCTTTAAGTATTAAAATATTTTATCATACAGGAAATCTATTTTAAATGTAAAAAAAATAATAATCTGAAAACACCAAAATCAGGTACCCAAATAATGTAAAAAAAACATTAATGAAAAAAAAAAAAAAAACAAGGTTTAAACTATAGTTTGTAGACTACCAAAAATTTGTATTAAATTATTATCTTATTAGAAATGTGTTAGTGGTGGGGAGAGGATATTGTATTCCGCAATGACAGTATGCACAACAAATGCAACAGAAGTACAGAATGAAACTTCTTGTCAGTAATATATGATACAAGAGATAATATTGTTATCTTGTAATTTTTAGGCATTTTGAAACTGGTATACAAGTTGAGTCTGTGGATTCTATCAATCACGTTTTGTAAAATGCTTATCTTTAGTATTGGTTCAATGTTATCTTCAAGTCTCCAGATTTGGAATTATCTTACAGTTTTAGATTTAGTGTTATCTTACAATCTCATTAGACTTTGTGTTGTTTTAGTTTGTATTTTGTGAGTTATCTTGTGGTCTGTGGCTTTATAATTACCCAAAAGTCTGTAGATTTAGTATTATTTTAGAGTCTACAGATTTGATGCTGTCTTGTAGTCTAAATTTAGTGCATTATATATGTATGTCACAGCTTCTAGATGTAGCATTATTTCTCAGTTTGTAGATTACCTGTTATTTTGAAGTCTGTAAGTTGAGTGCTATCTTGGTGACTGGAGATATAGCATTACCTAGCAGTCTATAAGTTTGCCCACACGTTTTTTTAGTGTGTAAATTGAGTGCTATCTTGGTGACTGGAGATATAGCATTACCTAGCAGTCTATAGGTTTGCCCACACGTTTTTTTAGTGTGTAAATTGAGTGCTATCTTGGTGACTGTAGATATAGCATTACCTAGCAGTCTATAAGTTTGCCCACACGTTTTTTTAGTGCGTAAATTGAGTGCTATCTTGGTGACTGGAGATATAGCATTACCTAGCAGTCTATAGGTTTGCACAAAAGTTTTTTTGGTGTGTAAATTGAGTGCTATCTTGGTGACTGTAGATATAGCATTACCTTGCAGTCTATAGGTTTGCACATAAGTTTTTTAGTGTGTAAATTGAGTGCTATCTTGGAGACTAGATATAGCATTACCTTGCAGTCTATTAGGTTTGCACACACGTTTTTTTAGCGCGTAAATTGAGTGCTATCTTGGAGACTAGATATAGCATTACCTTGCAGTCTATAGGTTTGCACATACGTTTTTTTAGTGTGTAAATTGAGTGCTGTCTTGGAGACTGTAGATATAGCATTACCTTGCAGTCAATAGATCTGTTCACAAGTTTTTTTTAGTGTGTAAATTGAGTGCTATCTTGGAGACTGTGGATATAGCATTACCTTCCAGTCTATAGATATGTTCGTAAGTTTTTTCAGTGTGTAAATTGAGTGCTATCTTGAAGTCTGTTGGAGTAGTGTTATTTTCTAGTTCATACATTTGGTGTTTTCTTACAGTCTGCAGTTTAAGGGTTATATTGGAAGTTTTTCATTAGGTAATAAATATCTTGGTCAAAAAGCAATACCTTCCTTTGCTTGGATGAGTTCCAGAAACTTGTAACACTAGCTAAAGATCATTTTGGGATTATGGAACATACACCTGATATTATATAACATCTTGATTTTGTACTTGATAGAAAACTGTTCAGAAATTCTTTTCCAGCTAAATCTGACTTAAAAGCATGTACTGTATATCAAGATCAAACTTAGTAAGATTAATGATGTAATGTATGTTTCTTTTCAGAAAAGATTCAACAATAATTAGATTTTATCAAGAAACTTTTGATTAGAGTATTGCCATAAATACAGTTAAGTGTTGTGCAAGCAACTATGTACATTGGTAAGTGCAACAGTGATATAAAGCCACAGAGTCAAAACTATTTTGTTGGTTAATAATATACATTAAGGCAAGTCTACATTTTAACTTGACTGTGTTGTCTACATCAGTGAGAATTTGCCTAGTCATACTGAATGAACTGTTTATAATCTACTAAACTGAGAGCATACGTAGCACTAGTGACAGCATGATCTTAACACTTGAATTACATGTTTATATTTGAACAGAAACCACAAACTATCAGTTCTTTTTTGAAACTCTTGAAATGAGCTGGCAGAAAAAATTCCTTTACTACCTTCTACCATTACAAATGAAGGTTATTACTTTTTTGAGAAACTTGACTACTAGGCTTATACCTCTACCTGATGCAAAATGCTCCAACTCATATACTGCACTGAGTAGAACTTGGAACTGTTTCCTTCTCTTCTCCAATTTTCGGTCAAGATTTTCTCGTGTTTTTATAAGTTTTTCAATTTCAGTTTGAACTTGTTGTAACTTAGCAAGAGTTACTTTTCTGTCAGGCTGTTTCTCTATAACTTTTGCTAAAGAATCATATTCTAGAAGAAAATAAAGAAACGTATATAAAATAACTAATGTTGTATTTTATTTGGTTTTTACTTACTTATTTTTAATTTGATTCAAAATAATATTTAGTCATTTTTAAGTTCAACTAAAGAGTTTCCTAATTTTTAATATAATTTTTGCACAGCAACTGAACATGGATATTTGTACTTTTCAGATGTGGTGAATTAAATTCCCAGATAATTAACTTCTATGCTCATGATACTTATATTTTTAAAGAATCACATAAACATTCTTTCAAAAGAATAATAATAACAAGTGCAACTAGCTTTCAGGAAAAAAATATTTTTCAACAGTACAGTGATTTGTCCATATTTGAATGAAGCTGTCTGTACAACATTTTTTATCCCGAGCTACAGTACATAAAGACATTTATCAATGTCTTAATAACTGGACAAAAAACAAGAAAATATCTTTACTCTCTTTTGATTTTTCTTTCAAATTTCAAGATCTTCAAATTCTTTAATAATATAATAAAAAAGAATATTTATCAATTATGTTAGTTATTTTCATACACAAAAACAGCTAACCTTGCTTGTTTTTTCGGAGTTGTTTAGCCTCCATCAATTCTGCTTTACAATCTTGTATTTTCTTTTGAGCTTCTGTGATTCGATTCTCTGTAAAGAAATTTACATCAGTAATGACTACGGAGATCAAAACAATTTCTATTCTAATTTTTCTAGTAATCAAGAATATACGAGTTGGTACTTTTGAAACATTAAAAAATATTTTAAAAATTATCTATGGTTTAAGTTTTTTTTGCAATAGAACAATTATGTCAAACTCTTAGTTTCAATACATATCTTCGTTTAAAACAATTATACTATCAACAGGTGGCAGCTCTGCATTAAAACACTTAACAGAATACAAGTCTGTAATGAATATGTAAATAATTCCTTTATTAATAGTTTGGAATTAGAGGTTCAGAAATGCATCATTCACAGAACCCATACTTATTTAAAACTAGTCAATCTGAAATTGTTTGAAAAAGAATTTACAACAGTAACTAGATCATATGTGAAGCACATTGCAGTTTAACCAGATCAGTTTTGTCATCAAAATCCTCACCTATTTGTTGATATAAATGTTCATAGTTTTCCATTTCAGACTGATTCATTGCCAACACTTGATGTGATTTCACCATGGCAAATTCGCACTGTGTTAACAACATCAAAATCCTTTCATATGTCAAAGTGCTAGAGAAATATAACAAACAGATTAATCCAACCATAAAATCTAACAATTCAACAAGTGTAGGTTCTGAACACTTTTAAATACAATTTGATAAGTAAAAAAAAAGAAATGTTTGTGTAATGTTACCAAACCTTCTGAACAGTTAAGTTTATCTATAAAATTTCCCCTGAAAGAACACAAGTTAATCATTTAAATTTTACAATAGTTTCTGCCCTAACAAAACCAACATTATTTGATTATATACTTTGAAATATGGAAGGAAAAACAGCTATCACTCTTCACTTTTTATACAACTTTAAGACTTTTAATCATAAAGCATCTGAAATGTGTGTACTACCAAAAGAACACAAATCTGACAAACTTTATCTGATTTCTTCACATCTTTTTACTACACATTGGAGAGGCACTTAAGATTTCATTCAAAACTTACATATCACTCAATAATCTTAATATTAAATGGTAATAAGTCACTTCACAGTCTTAATATTAAATAGTGATAAGTCATTCAATAAACTAAATACTGATTGATAAGACTATTGATAATTATACTGTCATGATGTAAAAGACTGTTTGGTTTAGATATTAGCAATTAATTTATTTCTGTGAGTGAATATTTTATTATTGTTTAGTTTTTGTTATAATAAGAGTTAAAAGAGACAACTGTAGGAAGTTTTGTTAATAATTCATTGACATTGAGAATATGGAAGGCAGACAGACTATTAAGTGATAAAGATATAAATAGCATGAGATAAGTGGAATGCAGCAGACAGATAATAGCAAAAGAGAATAAAGTTGGTGTGAAGTTCACTACTTTTGAAGTGATAGGCCTAACATTTAATATGTTAGAGTGAAACTAACAGTAGAAAATAGGATAAGAAAAATAACTGTATTCCATCAAAGCATGGTTCTAAATTAATTGAATCAGCCTGAGTGCACTTTGACAAAAGGAGCAGAGGATCTTCAAAAGAAAAAAGACCAAACGATTACAGTAACTCGTGCCACAATTGTAAGTGAATCAAGAGAATACTAGTGTGATAGAAATAGAGAAGATAGTTTGGCTTGTCAACTGAAATACTAAGGTAATTAAATAGGCTTAAGTGGATATTTGACAAGAAGGAAAGTAGTATTTATGATATGCCCATAATATCTATAGTGTTGAAGAACGTACTGTACATACGTAAACTTGTTCTGAATATACATATTATTTTGAAAACAGGTGAAGTGCGTGCTGTTTATTCATTGTTAACAAGTCACAGACACCAACTGTAGAAGAATCCTAAGCCCAACAACAACAACATAATATATATTTATACTATTAAGAAATATAACTAAAAGCCTTTAAATTCTGACAACCGGCAAATAATTATATTTTTTATTTTGACAAATACTACATGGCAATAAGTCATCCAAGAGTCTTAATATTAAATAGTGATAAGTCAGCACAATAGTCTTAATATTAAATGACAATATGTCACTTGAGTCTTGATGCTAAATAGTAATAAGCACTCGATAGTCTTAATATCAAGTTTATATATATTTATACTATTAAGAAATATAACTAAAAGCCTTTAAATTCTGACAACTGGCGAATAATTATATTTTTTATTTTGACAAATACTACATGGCAATAAGTCATCCACGAGTCTTAATATTAAATGACAGTATGTCACTTGAGTCTTGATGCTAAATAGTAATAAGCACTCGATAGTCTTAATATTAAGTGACGATATGTCACTCGAGTCTTGATACTAAATGATAAAGCACTCAACAGTCTTGACACTAAATGGTAGTAAGTCACTCAATAGTCATGATACTGAATGACAAGTCACTCAATAGTCATGATACTGAATGACAAGTCACTCAATAGTCATGATACTGAATGACAAGTCACTCAATAGTCATGATACTGAATGATAAGTCACTCAATAGTCATGATACTGAATGATAAGTCACTCAATAGTCATGATACTGAATGATAAGTCACTCAATAGTCATGATACTGAATGATAAGTCACTCGATAGCCTTAATATTACATAGTGATAAATCACTCAATATTCTTAATACTACATAGCAGTAAGTCACTTCATAATATTAATACTAAATAGTGATAAGTCAATCAATATCAAATGGTGGTAAGTCAGTTGAGTCTTAATATAAATAGAGATAAGTTTCATGATAGTCTTAATACAAATGTCTTTACCTTTGATGTCTTTGCTATGCAGGAAGACATAAATGCTGTTATGGAGGTAACTTTTTTTTTTCAACACAAACTAAATTACCATAGAACTCATCAAGAATGCTCTTCAATACATTCTGATGTGCAGTTATTTCAAATTATTTCAGATTTACTGATGACACTTTAGGTGCATGCAATCATGGACTTCTAGTTCAGTTATACAATTATACAATAATGTCTGGTGAGAATCCACTGAGGTTAAATGATTTGTAATGTTTGAACTTTGTAAGTGCTCCTGGTCAAATATCTTAAGTATTCTGAATGGTAAGTGTTATAACAATCACAGTTATAGCTTCCAAAGTTTATAGCACACTGACTATAGCAAACTAATAATACATACTCTCTTTCGGCACTGCGAGTTGGTTATATTTATAGGCGTGTAGAGGCTTTCTAGAAATTTCAGTTTTACGTAACAATACTGAGCTAAATTTAAACATTTACATATATACATATATTATTGATTGTTATTATTGAGAATCTTCTACAACTTTGAAGAATAGGCGGGAGTTTCGCAATACATATTTAACACTATAAGCTATGCATGTTTTAAAATATAAACTTAATCTAACAAATATTGATATTAAAATGAATATATAATAATAAATTCATTACACCATCACATTTTAATGCCTAGCTATTTACAGTGAGCAGCTTGTTCAGCTTCAGATACATAGTAATTGAACTCACATAGATAATTAGTACTCATACAACAGTACATGCAAAAGCTCTGCTTCATGGGAAGCAGGATAGAAAACACAGCTTGACAGCAAAGCCATTAATAGGAAGAATGAAAATGTATTACCAATGTGATGTAATCCAACAGCAAAATGCTTGGAACACCAGAAGAATATGAACATGGGCAAAGGCAGTAAAAGTAGCTTTATGTTCAAAACAGGTCATAACTGTCATTCACAACAACAAGGCTCATTCTGTCAAGTTAGACTTTAATGTTTAGTGAGAAACCTACTGAACTGAATACTTATTTTAAACATACAATTATAGCAGCTTTTTTAATGTAACTCTTACCTGATTATGACTCAACACTATGGGTCAAAACATTGTAATTATCAAAATCACAACTTGCCTACTGTTACTATATTTGTGAATTAGTTATGTGGGATTTTGCTTGAGAAGAGGCTTTAATTGTGTGGGGTCACAAATAGATTAATATGATAAATCTGATAGTAGAGTAATGTGTCTATCATTTAGTACATGTTCAGAATTATTATCTGAAAATTTTTTAAAGCTTAAACCACTCATACCATGCTATCTTAGTTGAGTTTGATTCTGAAGAAACTATAATATAGTATTCCCCCTGTGGCTTGTCACTAGCCTTGAAACATCCACCTAACTTCACATGTATACCATGTTCAACTGCATTATAGCCTGCAAATGAGCAAGCAACAATCCTCCACCAATGGGAGTGAGACACACCCTTCTATCGCAGCTGACTTCCTCTATGCAGTTGAACCTAACCTTCATTTTGAGATATTGACACCGGAAGTGAAAAGGATGGGTGGAAAGTGTGAGAGAAGGTGAGTATTTATCAGAAATATATATTTCAGTGAAACAAAATATTAACAATTACTTACCTCTAATCACAGTTACAGCTGTAATCCCACATTGATCTAGTAGAGAGACCAGTGGAAAGGTATCTAGGTGAGCACCCTTCAAAATAATATTAAGAGCACCCACTAAGTGTGCCCTACTTATGTAGAAGAAACACTTGTGAGAGACTGCTCCACATGTGAACCAGGTATACTCATTACCCATGTGGAGTCAATATGTTTTGTGTCACAAAAAACACAAAACAAGATATTAATTTCAAATCTGAAGGAATAGAAATATGTGTAGGGTGGTAAGGGTAGATCAGGAGTGACTGGACTGGCCCATGGGAGGAGGAGGGCCCTTAACCATTCACCTTAGGCCTAGAAATTGCAAATGAAGAGGATACTCTGTTCCAAGAACCTAAACCATCATGTGTGCAAATCCAGCACAACCTATAGTAATACACCTTGTGAATGTACTTCCGGATGAAGACAGGAAAGCAAAAATGCAATGTGTAGGGTCAATTCCAGCCCAAAGCCAAACAGCATAGGGAAAGAAACATCCAGTCTGCAGTAGGATGAAGTTCCCAGCCCAGTGGTCTAGCTCAAACCAAAACTTGTCACCTAGGGACCAATGTCCAGGCAGCAGTCAGATCGAGGGTTCCCATCTGGAGGGGTGAACTGCAAATTAGATGAAAAGATCCAGTCCAAATCTGCAGCATCTGGTGTATAATATCAGACCTGTGGCAGGAGGATACTCATACCTTCTACATAGGAAGAACACCACCACCTTATTTTTAACAGAGTTTAATTGGGCACACTCGGAGGCATTTTTCTATGGTCCACCATCCCAGCAGTTAGAAGAAGGGAAATAAAACACATTGGAGAGTCTAAATGAATGCATCACTGGAGAAAGTGCAATGGGTGACCATGAAACCCTATTTTGAAAAGCAGTACATTTCTGATTCCATTAATTCAAGGAACACCAGGGATGTGCAGCAATCCCTATCTGCCTTACTCATGTTAGTCCATGAGTATAAGGTCCAATACGAACATATTTATGATGCAATAAACCGCAAGGAAGAACCTGCTAGAGTTCTTGTGCTAGTTTTATCTAAAGACAATTATTTTTAATGAAGAGTTAGTTTATACATTTTTTGTAGACTTGTAAAAATTTAGGGAGAAATCCATGGAGTCGTATTACACGTATTTTCAGTT